TACTCTTCTTCGAAATTTAAGTCTCTTTTTTTCTTTCTTTTCATCATCTAAGAAATGTGTACTTTGATGCTTAATATTTTCTTGATTATATTGACTGCCTAATCATTTACCATTTAGGTTAAAAAGTGAATGTGAAATGGCAAGTTCAATGTAGACTGTTGTTTGGTACCATTTGTAACTTACCATGATCCTATTCACAGTTTCTAGGAAAGAACAGGTAGGGGCTCCTGGGTGGCTCAGTTGGTTAAGGGTCAACTCTTGATTTCGGCTCAGGTCATGATCTCAGGGTTGTGAGAGTGAGCCCCTCATCTGGCTCTGCACTAGGTGTGGAGCCTGCTTAAGATTCTCTCTCTCTTTCTCCTTCTCAAAAAAAGAAAAAAGACAGGTTTTTTTTTTTTTTAACCAATAGGGAAAAGATTATATTCATAGGAGTGACCTGAAAATTCTGAATTTTAATGCTTTATTTTTAAAATTAATATAAAATGCATAAACTTTTTTTTTCAAATGCTTACACCTTTATTCTTAGTATTCCAACTCCCGATTAACTCTGGAGTCACTAGTTTTAAGAAGAACATTTTAACGTAAGTTCTAAGAAGTGACAATTATTGTATCTTTAATTTTTAGGTATGTTGAGACGTGTTCAATTTAATTCCAACCAAATTAAGGAGGACCATATTTATGACTTTATTTACCTTCTTCCTTTTACCAGACAATGAAAATTTTATTGCTTACAATTTTAATGAGCTCACAAGAAAAACACCATTGTAAGGCTAATTTGATATTAAAACTGATGTAAAGTTTCTGATGAGATGAAAAGTAGCATTAAATAAAATACTGGGTTTTTCTCATTGTTCTCCTTTGATTTCCACATCTTCACCATTCTCATCTCTGTATTTTGCCTTAGGGAGTTATGAGCCAAAAATCATTCCATTAATATCTTCAAAATTAACTCAATATATTTTATTTAGTGAAATCAAGGTGGTATCTATTTTATAGTAATTTTATGGTAATTTTTTTTTTTTTTTTGCATCTACACATTAACCAGAAACTAGTAGGTCTATGATAAAACTTTGAAAGAAAAAACATTTTATGGGTGATTTGTTGTTGACTTCTTCTGTAAAAATCTTGTTTAATAGTATTTTAAAGACTAATATAGGTTATACACTTTCATATGTTAAAATAATATGTAAAGATATTTGCATCTTGCTTGTTTGGCAACTTACAGGGTTCTTTTGAATCAGTATTTGTTGACCGCCTGGGTATTGTCAGTATTCACTTAAAGACCTTAAACTGGAAGCCAAGCCTCTAAAAATGTTCCCCTCTTTCCCATGACTTTATTTAAATGCAGCTCTCCTTTAGATTAGGAAAATATATTTACCCGCTCCTATTGGTGGGTTCTCCATATATAAGAACTGGATTTTTTAACCCCCTGGATAATCTAAACAAGCTGTGAACTCTTGCTGGAAGTAAAACATTAGAGATTATATATAATCCCCAGGATATACTGTTCCCAGTGTTCTTCCAGCCATTTTTTTCTAACTAGCTTCAAAGCCCATTGCCTATTCCCTGTTACACAAGCTGTATTACAATCTTGGGAGTTGTATACTCTTTAATGGATATAGAGTAAGTAGGTGTGGGAAACAGGAGGCAGCTCTTTACTGCCTTGAGAAGCCATTAGCATGGAATAGGGAAGTGATTGACAGCCTTGCTGGCCAGCAGCCTACGCCCCAATCTTAGATACAGGGTCTACAGTGTATGTTTGCTAGAAATATCTTCCCATTTCCTCTCTAGTCAGGTTAATATTTTAGGAGTTTAGACACTAGTCAGCCACTGAACATCTCTCAATCTAGCCAGCTGCCCTAAAGTTAGGCAAAGTCCTCCCAGATACTGGGAAATCTTTGACTGGTACTCTAATGCCTAGTGCTTTTATGACTTGACTTTCTTTTTTGTTTTTCTCAGATATTTCCATGGGAAGTTTCAAGGGGTGAATCATATGCAGCTAGCTACCTCCCATCATACCCCAGAAATTATCTCAGTTAAATTTAAATCAGAAAGTAAAGTATTTTTGTCTATCCTCTAAGATAAATACATGCCTAATGCTCTGGAAAATTTTAAATATATAGCGGTTATAAGCAGAATGCTATTAGCCTTCAAAGTTATTGTCATCATTACTGTTAACTGTTATGCACTTCAACAAATGTTTACAAAGCAATTATTCGTTTTGAGAACTGTCATACTCAAGGTAACCAACCGTCCTGTATACGCTAACTCTACATAAATAACTTTGGCTCATATTTTTTTTGTTTTCATTAATAAACATTGGTCAACTCCTATGTATAAGAAAACACTGTGCTAGAGGCAGGCTGAATTAAGATGATAACCAAGCATGAACTAGACACATGCTGAAAGGAACAGATACATGTGCAAGTAATACACAACATTGAAGAGAGAAGGAGGAAGATAAATTAAGAGAAAGATATACTCTAGTGGTTAAGAGAGATGGTTTTAAACTTATATTGCCTGAACTCCAATAGTTTGGGTGTTATTACAGAAGTATCCATTGGATAGAGGAAGTTAGGAGGCCCGGAGATGGAGGACACAGGTTCAAAGGCTGATTGGAGCCCAGTAGTGGTGAGCCCACAGAGGAGAAATCAGAGGGGAATGTCTGAGCCAAGGTCTTGAGGATTAGAGTTCATGTAATGGCCATGGAAGAGTAAAGAGTTTAGTGTCCCTAGAATTTGGTCCGATAAATATTTATTTAACATGTCTAAATGTAAGATACGGTGTTAGGCATTGGATATATAGTAATGAATCCACTTATAGACTAATGGAAAGAATTAGTCACACAAGAGATGTAATACAATTATGCAGAAGTTATGAGAAAAGCCAAACAGAGTGCTAAGGGAGAGTAAGTTCGAATGTGCATATTGTGCCCTGGTGGGTCTCAAAGTGAGGCTGGGCTAAGAATTAATGCATGACTCAGAGATAGCCAAACCAAGCATAGGGCTTGCTGTCACAGATAGGTAAAAGATATATTCCAGGGGAATGGAAGAGAAAAAACCAAGGCACAATGGGAAAAAAATATTGTGTACAGTGAACCCTAGCAATTTTAGGTTGGTAGAGCCCAAATTTCCCAGAGAATATCCTATATCCTATACCAAGCTTGTTTATATCCCCAGCCTTCCCATATTATGCTCATTTTTCCCCTCACGTGGCTTATAAGCAATGAACATCATTCAATAATTGTGTCATCTTCATTATAAAACTTTCAATTTCACCTACAGAATTCACACTAGAAGCACCTTCAGAATATTTATGTTTCTCCATTATTTCTGCTTACAGTCCCTGCTAAACTGTTACCAATCTCATTGGGGTCCAAAAATCAGAGGGTGGCAGCTAGCAGATTTAAATACTGTGTAACACTCAGCTGCATTAGGGAGACATGGATCCTTTTTTTAAAACCAAGAACAAGATTGTTCATCCTGGTGACCTCCAATATCCCTTTAAATACATAATGCATGTTCAGGATAATAAACTTCTGGTCTTTGAGTTTCTTACCAATTTATTTTGACAACTGATGTTTCTATAACTCTTGTTCCCCCTAGGTATGTTTAGTTTCCTTGTGCCATCCCCTGTACCAGTGCATTTAGTCCTTGCATATTGCACAACTCTTAACCTCTAACTTTGGGTCTAACAAATTTCATTATTTGTAAATTGCTCAAAAAAAAAAAAAAAAAGATATATAATGTTAGGAGTTTTTTAATTTCTATGTTTAATATCTTTATATTATTTGTGATATTCTTAATAGATATAATTAATTTAGTGTATAATAAAGTCAAAATAGGTATCATTTACCTAAAAGAAGCAATCGGTGATAATGTATTTCTAGGGTTAAGTAGGAAAACATCATGCAACTCCCATGACATGCTTTGTTATTGGTAATCCTCAAAGATCCATGTTTAAAACTTAGACCTACTTTTATCAGCTAGTATCATGACAAGCTGCATGAGTGGCGTGGCTGAGATCTAAGAGAAACCACCATTTCCAGGACTATCCTCCATTTCTTTTAAGGTGTCATTCAGGGCATTTATGTTGGTACATTCCGTGTTTGAGTTCAGTAATACAGAATTCAGAGATGCCTAAGTGGAGGATAAATTACTGACCTTTGAGAGCAAAATAGGATCAGATTACGTACTGAAGATTTCTTTCCTCTGCATTTTATCTTTTCACTTTTATCATAAGCTGTGCTTTCAATTTCCAAGTCTTTTGTTATAGTTCAGATGAAACAGGTTTTCTTGAGAGAAGTAACAGAACTGAACGCTTGATGCCTCTGATGTCTGTGATACTATTATTCAAGGTTTAAAAGAAATGGTCTTTAAGCATTGAGCTTGCATAATTCAATCTGTCCTCACTATTCGTCTGTTTGCCTTATTAAATCGTGGTTGCAGCAAAATGCTAGGAAAACAGAACTGCTTCTGGAAGGTATTCTAATGACAAAAGTCCAGAAACTGGACTCAAGTCAGGTGTTAAGTTCACTTGCTCAGTAGACGTGTGATGAAAAGAGAGCCTCTTGCTTCATCAGTGTGATAGGAATACAAGAATGAAAGGGTATTCTGGTTGAAATAGAGCGTTTCAGGAACTGAAGTAAGTGACAGCATAATTGCTGGAGAAGGGGAGACTCCCATGTAATTGTTTTCCAACAATGCTGGATTCCACTGGAAATTGTACTTTCGGTGTATACACAAAACACTCCCACACTTGAAGGGAATTCTGCACTCATCCCTTTGACAGATCGCATTCTAATTAAGCCACTTCATGTTTGTGAATGAGAAATTTTTAAAAACTGAGATTGCTTTCTCTTTCATTTAATAGAGACTGTGGGAGTTTTCTCTCTTTTTCAAAGATGTAGTTAAGGAATTAATCGCTGACATTAGAGGGCACAGTTACATGAATTCATTGGTTTATGTTTATTTAAAGTGCTCAATGTTTTTGTCTTGTAGGCACTTCTCATGTTTGTCTTCTAAATACATGTGCCCTGGTGTCCCTGCTGTCATGAGCACCTTGTTGGCGAATATAAATGCTTTCTACGCTCACACAACAATTTCAACAAATGTACAGGTTTCTGCCTCAGATCGATTTGCCGCTACCAACTTTGGTGTAAGTATTTTTGGACTTTCAAATTCCTACTAACTTATGGGACTTACATTTTCTTTTCTTTTTCTTTTTTTTTTTAAGATTTTATTGATTTATTTGACAGAAGAAGAAACAGCGAGAGAAGGAACACAAGCAAGGGGGAGTGTGAAAGGGAGAAGCAGGCTTCCCACTGAGCAGGGAGCCCAATGTGGGGCTCCATCCCAGGACCCTGGGACCATGACCTGAGCCTAAGGCAGACGCTTAATGACTGAGCCACCCAAGTGCCCCCTGGGAGTTACATTTTCAACATACTTTGGATTCCAGATATTCTTGGAATCTTACTGCAGGAGGCGCATCTTTTAGGGAATATCTTTTAGTATAATGGGCAAAAGCTAAAAGTTCATTGGAAACATACCCTGTAAAATAACTTTGGCAGTCAGTAGGCATCTTCATGGAATTAAGTCTTCCTATCTGGAATGACCTTTTCCAATGAGGACACACATAAATTTTCTGAAAGTGTAGTGGGATTTTATAGGACTTTCTCCATGTATGCAGATTTAGGATTCACCATTTCAGATGCTGTTCCCTGGTAAAAGTGAGTTTGGTTGACTTCTCTGGAGTCTATTAGGCTCCATTTATACCTCCGATTGGTTTTTAATGGTGTTGCTAGATATCGGCACATCTTCTAAGTGAAACATAGTAGGTGTATAAAGAGTCTTAAGAGCTATCTGTACCTAATTAAGACTGTCCATCTGAAGTATTCAAATGCACCAAGGATACAATGAAAAATAGAAATGCAGGTATCCCAAGGAAACTCAAGTATTTAACTGTTGCACCTGTCACTGGAACTCATTCTCTATAAGCCTCATTAAGTTGAAATTGACAAGACTGGAAATCAGATATAAATTAATAGTAACTGCAGTATAATTGTGCAGATCAAAACTAAGACAAAATTAGTGAAGATGGAGAAGGAAGGACAAATTGTAGAGTTTTTCATGGCATAGAATCAACAGTACTTGGTGTCTTTGGTGATGTGGACAAGGAAGGAAAGGGAAAGCTGTCTGGAGAGATTCCCACAATTTTGACTAGGGCAGGTACCTGGTTGGCAGTAGCTCTGTTCAATAACCCTATGAGACAGGTATTCTTATTCTCGTGTGTGTGTATACATGAAACTAAGATCCATTGTAGGAGAATGACATTTTCATGGCAACATAGTTACTTTTTCCACTGTACTTCCAAATGGGTTCACTGAATAGATTTTTGTTATTATGTTGTTAGAAATTAAATTTTGGGATATGTGTCATAGAGTAGAGACAAATGAGACTCAGCAAATAAAAGTGTGTGAAGTCAGTAGGGGGAAAATATGCTGGTGTGTATACTCTTTTTCTGTCCTTTTCATCTGAAAGAAAATGCATGTGAGGCATGTGAGATGAGTTGGAATGAATCAAAAGAAAAAGTAATTATTATTTAATGACAAATCAAATTAAGTGCTAGTAGAAGAAAACACTATCTGTGTTAGGAGTCATGGGATTTGAGTTTGTATTCAAATTTAGCAAGCCAGTCCAGTCATTCTAGCCTCAGTTTCTCAATCTGCTCAATGAAGATAACAAATACCTCTCTAATGTGTTTCTCAAATTGAAGATGAAAAGCAAATGAAGTAAAATATAATAAGCCAGTTTGTAAAAGTTGAAAATGCTCTATAAATATTAGGTATGAGGATTTCATCTCTCCTGCCCTACCTACAGTATAAACAGCATACCATCAGTTACTTCTGTTAGACACATTGAGTCTTGTAAAAGCCAGGACCAAAGAACATTCACTGGCCAACTCAACAAAATACTATTATAACCGATAACAGAACATCAGAACGGTTTTCTTATAAAAACCTCATCTTGATAATAAGATTGTCTTGAGATTTTACCTGTAACATAAAGCACTCAGTGTTATGTAATTGTTTGGCTTTTAATATTGTGCCTGGGCACCTTGTAGAGAATAAGCCAACCTTGTGGAACACTGAGCCTTTATAGCTCTGAAAAAGAAGACGTGTCTATATGATTAATATCCGTCATAAAAGCTACCTGGAGGAAAATGAGATAGAACTTCCTGCTGACCCAAAGAAGAAAAACCAAATTGATTTCACTATTTTTCAGTGACAACGTGATTATAAAAAACTTTATTTTGTAAATCAAATAACTTATTGTAGAAGAGGGCCCCCCCCAAAAAAGAATTTTTTTCCTCAAACTACATTTTGATAAATTGATGATTTGGTATATAAATGTGACTGTATTTTTCTCTACCTACTGAAAATAATGCTATTTGCTCAGTCAGATATACCTAAGTATAATGTCTCCCACCTCCAACTTAGGGCCTAAGGTTCTTATTTACCTGAATTCTGAATCTGATCTGTTGCTCCTGACTTAAGAACACCTTTATATTGGTCCTTCATCCTTCTCAAAGGTATAACCCAGACATTTTGAGTATACAAATAATAAGCCAGTGGAAAAAGCTTTTCTTACTTATGAGGATGGTAAACAAACATATTTAGGAAAAGAAAACCATCACTGTTACAATTCAGACATTTTTGTGTACAATTGTTATTTTTGGTCATGGTTTGGATGAAAAATGTTCACGAATGAAGTGAAAAGGACAGAACACTTGGGTGTAAGAAGAGGAACAAGCAAACTTTTTTTTTTTTTTAAAGATTTTATTTATTTATTTGAGAGAGAGAGAATGAGAGACAGAGAGCATGAGAGGGAGGAAGGTCAGAGGGAGAAGCAGACTCCCTGCCGAGCAGGGAGCCCGATGCGGGACTCGATCCCGGGACTCCAGGATCATGACCTGAGCCGAAGGCAGTCGCTTAACCAACTGAGCCACCCAGGCACCCTGAGGAACAAGCAAACTTTTTTGAGGAAAATGGTTAGATAAATAGGATGAAAATGATAAACAATGTCATATTATGAAAGACAAGGGAAAACTATTTTGAGAAAAGCAATCTATATAAAGACTGTCAACTGTTGCAAAAAGTTCAAGTAAGATGGGGAAAGAAATGACCCCTTTAAATTTGGGAAATAGGAGGTAATTATTTAGTGAAGTAGTTGACATTGAAGCCTAATTTCGTTGGGTCCTACAGTGAATGGCATAGATGAATAGTTGTGTAAATTAGTTTCATTTATTCACTAAAATATAATGCAATCACTAAGAATCATGTTTTTAAAGAAAAGTTCATAAAATTGAGCACTGTCCATGATATAATGATAAATGAAAAAAAAATTAAAAATTCTATAAACATTCTAATTCCAACATTGAAAACAACACACACAACTGGTTTAGAAATAAGACTGGAAGGAAATGTGCCAAAATGCCAATGATACAGCCACTTGGTGGGATGAAAGCTAATATTTTGTTGTTTTGCTTTATATTCATCTTTATACTGACATTGTAAAACTTTCTTATGTTAATTTTGTAATAAACATATGAATGAAAGGGTGAATATGGTTCAGGAAACAGACTATTTTGTTAAGGAACTGGACTGAAAAGGGAAAGCTTGGTCAAGGGAAGATATTGTCATGAAAAAGATTTTATTTTTACTGGCTGGTTGGATAGGGATGTTTTTATTTAATAAGGTAAATTGAAACATGTTTGTAGATTATCAGGAAAGGGACTAGTTGTGACAGTGAAGTTGCAGATTTATCAAAGGGAGAACATGTGATGCCGTGACATCACAGAGGAGACAGAAGAAATGTAGTCAAGAAGACAAAATAAGGGACATTCTTTGGAATAAGAAAGGACAAGTTCCATTCTGAAATTTCAGGAAGAGTGTAAGTGTCCTTGCAGAGAACTCTGACCTTTTGATATTAGAGTGAAAAGCTGGGATGTCACACCCCATTTCCCTAATCTTCTCTGTGGTTGTCTACAAGAACAGGAAATGCTCATCTACAAGACAGGGGCTATGATACAGATGCAGGAGGTGAAGGAGGTTGTAACAGGTTTGGATACATTACCAAAGGGAATAGAAAAAGAAATGCTTCAGGTCCGTGTCAGAAGAATTCCTAGTAAAGCTGAAGGTCTCATTTGATGTTGAGAAGCATAAATCACATTGTCACAACAATGCATGTGGCTGTGAGATTTTCTCAGAATTTTGCAGCATTCTGATGCTCATGTAACAGATATGGCAGAAGATTGGATTGACTTCAGGTTGAAATTTTGTAGAAAAGAGGCAGTGAAGGGTGAGTGAATTAGTACATAGATGAGGCTGTTGAGAGAAAAGTTGAAGTGCTTCACCATGGGGTCTAGGTTTGAGAAGTTGCACCAGGAGAAACAGAGACAAAAAATTTAGGTAGGAACATAATATGTTTCAGTTAAAATTTCAAAGGGGAAGTCTTGGGTCCAAGATGTAGCTCTGGAAGTAGACTGTTGAAAATTGAGTGTAAAACAATTATAGTTTACTTAAACCTGCTCATAGGCAGTGACTGTTGAATTTTCAGGAATACTGCAAGCTAGTTGTTGAACATAGCAGTCCTTGAAACCAGAAGTATTGAGAATACTAACATCATGGAAATTGGCAAATGCTAAAAATCAAGGCATTTTTCTTTTGAAGAGATGATTTAGCAGCACACCATTGAGTGAAAAGGTTATTTGGAGTCAAGATTAAAGAACTTTTTTGGATAAAAATCCCCGTGGGTGTGGAAAACACCATGGGTAGATCGAGGGTTGGAAAGGAAGAAAACATAAGTTGGGGTTCAATATCTCAACTTTAAAGAAAAGTCTTTAGAAAATTTATTTAGTGAGTTATCTTAAAATGCAAATAATGAATTATTAGTAAAACTAATACTTATCTAGTTCATTTTTTTCCCTAACATGTATACCCTCTTTGACCCAGCCAGTGTTCAGCAAAAATAAATAAGCTAATACTAAATATTTCTTTGTCATTACATATGTTCTTTTCAATATGTTTTCATGCGATACCTCACGTAAGGCACTACAGCAGGTAGTGGAGGGACTGAAAGATAAATGATGACCTCTGC